GGAAAGGAGCTGGGCAGCTTTAAAATCCCCTATCTGGAGGAATGAGACTCAAGTCTCTGTGCCAAAGAGATGATGGCCTGGAGCTGGAAGCCTAAAGCAGGTGGCCTTGGTGGTCCACAGGTGTAAGTGCCCTGAAACTATGACGAATGGCTTGTTTAAAGTTTGTGCACAGCGCTCTAGCACACTGTGAACTAACTGTTTCAATGGACCCAGCTACTGTACCGTAAAAGTTCCCTAGTGCACAGTGTAGGGAAATTTTAGTGACCAGCAGCAGGGACCCACGGACAGTTAGTGTTTGGCAGCCTGGAACACTGTCGATTTACACACCAGCTTGCTGTGCACTAACCGCTCATTTAGACATGACCTAACGTACAACTAAAATAGCTGTAAAACGTTCTAGAACCTTTTGTATACTTATCTTCATCATTAATGCATCCCAGAAAACGATAAGGAGCAATATTATTACTTTTTCTTTCTGTAGCACCTTTCATCTGAGGATCTCAAAGCACTCTATAAACATTACTTAAGTTTCACAACACCCCTGTGAAGTAGACATGTTTTATTGTTCCCACTTTAAAGATAAGAAAACAGGCACAGAAGGCGTGTGACTTGCTTGATATGACATTGCTGCTGACAGGCTAAGTGGGAGAGAACCAAGAAGACCATTTGCCCACTCCCTGACTATAACCACTATAGAACATTATCTGCTCATCTTTATATCATGAGCACAGGTTACTTTGAAGGAGGGATCTGAGGGCATAGTATGATCTTAGCATCACAGATGTTGAAAATGTCTCTTACATCTCCTCGGTTTATTTTGGCCCTGTGTTATGTTGGTGGGAATTACATTTCTTGGAAGTCCTGTGCAGGATTCCCATTAACCTCATACAGTTTATAATTTGACTTTTTAAAACCCCCTCATATTATGAACCAATTTTTGCTGCATCTGTACAAATTACAGATTTGCAAATCCAGTTTGAAATAGAACTACAGGTGTCTGTGATACCTCTGAACTGAAACCTGATTTTATCACCTTCCAAACTGAAAAGCTTTTTATCCTTTTCCATTAGAGAAGGTTTTGGAACCCAGGAGGCCACCTTCTGCCAGTAGGACAATCTTTATTTTGGAATTTCCACCACCTGATTATTTGTTTCTGTACTTGGTAGCTGGCAAGTGGAAATCAAGCTGTGATTGCAGTTTACATACTGATACCAGCCACTTGTGCAAGAAGATCCTATATGGCTTAGACCGGGGGTGAGGGGGGAACAAATGCAACATGCCACTATACATTTAAGTATTGCCAACACTTGGGAGTTGAAATTAGGACAACAAATGCCTCAAGGTAGATGTTAAAGGATGCTGACGTACTGCTGGGATAATGTGAAGCCACTAATTTTTGTAAGCCCATTTTAAAATTAATCTCTTCTCTCCATGTTGTCTTTCACTCACTCTTCTCTATAGAGCAAGGTGAGCAGGAGGAGTCTCCGTTGAGAGAAACATGGGTAGGAAAAATAGTTACTAAAATCAACCGGTCCAGCTTCCTGTGAACACTGTTATTTCAAATCTTTCTTCAATGTGAATATATACTTTAGAGTAGAAATTATTCTTAAATCTGTTGAGAGCTAATTAATGGTCTCAATTTCTGGTTTTTCTCCTTGCCTTTCCCCAAGTGGGAGTGTAAAATGATATGAATTTGAGTGTATATATTTAATGTACTATTTCATGCACGGCTGCATTGTACCACATAGTATTTAGGTCCCACATAAAGAAGAGTTGAGATTTCTTGAGCTGGTGGCAACATGAGGAGTTGCATGTTCCCTTCCCCACATGGGTTTGATAGGCACTGGCAAAATCTGATACTGTGCAAACTTTTCTCATCGGGGGTGGAGGGGAAATAAATGTTACCTCTTCCTGAGTTACTCTTTTCTAGGATTATTCCAGTTAATATAAGACAAAAACTATTTTTTTTTCTTTTTAATTTTAAGCGAACTTGGTGCTGGTGAAAGATGCTGGTTTGAGACCCCCGGGAAGTTTGAACGCCTATTGGAACTACCAATACAATTTGGGCACTGGAAGTGCAAGCATGGCTCATACTGCCCTGCTTATGTTCATCAATACTTGTCTAGGAGCAAATGGTCTGTTCAATCCTTGGCCCCTGCTGAAATTGCCAATAAGGGTGCTAACTATTGAAATGATGACTTTAGTGAGGTGGGCCAATACTTAGATCACCAACCTTATTTCAACCAGACCACTGTGACATAGTGATTTTGGGATAGAATGAAGGGGGGTGGATTTGCACTGGTAAGTTTAAGACTCCACTTTGCACTATAAATGTCCTGCAGTATTCAGTTCCCATTCCCTATGTAGGTCCTCAGCCATGGAGCAGATCACCCAGTCCTAGAAGCAAGGGAGTGAGTGAGCAGGGCCTAGGAAGATGGGAAGGATGGCAGGGAAATGCCTGTGTGGAAAGGAAATGACAGGATAAAGTAGGTCTATGTGAACAGTGTGACCAATAGGGGTCTAGCCAGGGCAAACTGTGAACTACATCTTGTTTTGTTAAGGCAATTTTGTTTCAAGGCTCCCAGCTTCTACTGTAACCTCCATTTTGGAGAGTAACACTTGCATTGTGCTGTAACCTCCATTATGAATTAGAGCAGGGGTAGGCAACCTATGGCATGCGAGCTGATTTTCAGTGGCACTCACACTGCCTGGGTCCTGGCCACCGGTCCGGGAGGCATTTTAATTTAATTTTAAATGGAGCTTCTTAAACATTTTAAAAACCTTATTTACTTTACATACAACAATAGTTTAGTTATATATTATAGACTTCTAGAAAGAGACCTTCTAAAAACATTAAAATGTATTACTGGCACACGAAACCTTAAATTAGGTTGCCGACCCCGGATTAGAGCATTTGTAGTGGGAGCTTGTCACCTTCTTGAATGAGTGTGTCTGAGAAGCTGGCACAGAGCAATCTAAAGCTATCAACATTGAACAACTATTTCCTACGTGAACAATGGGTCTTCTACCAATAGGGCCATTGAGTTTGAATGACACACTGCACAGAAGTTGACTGGGAGAGCTGAAGCCTGGAACTTCCTCACCTGAAAGCACATAGGCAAAAAGGGAAGAGATACAGTTCTAAGAGATGGATGCTTCTGTAAGCAAAGGGCCAAATCACGGCAACATTTAAGAACTCCAGGCTTAGGGTGGCCTAGCCTAAGGATGCTGTCCAAACCCAGAGCTGACAGGGTTGTGGGAAGGTGAGATCAGACTCTGGGTGCTGCATTCAGGACTGTGTGTTATTTTTCAAAGATCCGTAACTCTTGAGTGTGCGTTCTTTAAGAGTAAAATGACTGTTGTAAAGAAACTTTTGTTCGAAGCCTGTGGTCTTTGCTTCCCTGCCAACTTGTCCCTGAAAGAGTTAATCCAGAAACCACAGCTTTCACAGGCAGGTGAACTCTGGGGCAACTTGTCTAAGCAGTTGAGAGCTTGAGAAGGCTGAGGCTGCTGGTTTCAGGGTATTGGATATGGGGCTCTACAGTCTGGATGCCCTAAGGAAGGGTGCAGACATGAGATCTGTACCTGGAAGTGGGCCTCAGAGACCCAGAGATAGGAACATGACCAGTCACTTCCCAGATCCAGGGGTGTTTAGAAGCATGTGGGATCCAGGAATTAAGATCACTTACAACAGGTTGATTACCATGCAGAGAGGGGGACTGGCCCAAGTTGTGACAAAGAGTAACAGTGGAAGTCTGTGGATATCATGGCCCTAAACTGATGTTTTCTGATTGCACTAGAACCTGGACTTACCCAGATTTACTCAATTAATTTCTTGTTTAGTCTAGTGAGAATAAGCGATTATTTGCTTTGTGAGTATAAACTTTTCATGTTCCACAAGCAACAACAGGAGATTGCAGATGTCAAAATGCATGGCAGGTCATTTCAGGTTTCTTAATACCTGATTTGCAGGCATAATCCGGTACTTAACATCTAGGGTGAGATTTTCACAACATTGTACTCAACATTGGCTTGACTTTGCTCCTCTTAAAGTCCTGGGGGATTTAATGGAAGCCAAGTGAGGCCAATTTTTAGTGGTTTTGAAAATTCCAAGTGTAATTAACATCATTGTTCCTGCTTGATACTGGAATTACTGGATGTAATTCTTTGGCCTATGTTATGCAGGAGGTCAGACTAGATAATTGTATTAGTTCCTTCTGGCATTAAAATCTGTTTAAAATCAACAAATCTATTAAATTGCAGGCACAAAATGGAGTGACCGAAATTAAATTAAGGCCGAATTTAAAATTTTGGCCCTTCTCTTCAGTTCAGTTATTCTGTCTAATCTGTTTTTTAAAAGAAAAAATTCAATTTATTTCACACTGCTTCTAAATTTTTAATTTTCTGTGTGCTGCAGAATTTGGTATTGAAACATATCTACTGTAGAGTTTGTCAGGGGAAAGGTGGAGGTTTTAACATTTGCATAGAGGCTAGTTGGGGCTTTTGATGCTAGGAAGATGTAGGAGACAGTTTGGTGTGGGATAAACACATTGGCTGGATATTAAAACAAACAGCACTGAACTAGTTAATTCTGTTTGTTGCTGAAATTTGCATCATTAGATTTCAAAGTCAGCAACCAGGCATAGTTATTTAATGAATTACTTTCAGCCTTTTTTTTGACCACTGTGGAGAAGAAAATGAATTGTTTTCCTGACAGATAGGTGGCTGTATAATGCTTGCAGCTGATTTTAACAATGTGACAGTGAGAAAAAAATTAGAGCTCATTAACATTCACTCAACCCAGTGTCTGCACCATTGATCAATGCTTGGACCACTGTATGACTTAAAATACTTAATGAATCTTTGTTTGACAGGAGCCAGCTGTGTTGCAGGAAAACATGGATGATCTGATGGCTGGCTGAGTGAATTTGGGTTGCATCTTATAAACAAGGAGAATCTGAATAATCGGAGGGCAGAATGAGTGAGAGAAGACTTTTGATGATTGATTGAACTATATTATGGCTGACACGCAAATTCTATGCTTTGCATGAAAGCATCAGTGTCTGAGTGGAAAACCAGGAGAAAGGGGGATTGCCTATGTGATTGTGGAAGGTAATCAGCCATCTGTTAGACTTAATGCACTTAGTAAAGGGATATGTGTGCATGTGTGCACACACACACACACACACACACACACACACACAAGAGTAATCATAGTGCAGAATGATTCTTTCAAAATCATTTAATCTGTTGCTGCATTTTTTCCCCCACTAGAAATAATTCTAGCCAATAGCTACAACCTGTGGCTTATAATTATTGCATCCTTTTAATGGACTCAGGAAGTTTAGCTCTGAAATCAAAAGCGACACTGGTGCTTTGACTTGTATTTGTTGTGGGTTTTTTTGTACAAACATATTAGCCAAAAATCATACTTAAGATGCTGACTCATCTGTCTTGGGCATAGTAAGACTCAGTTCAGGGGGGGTACCATGACACTGTTTAGAACCCAGTCCTGGATTGCTTGCACACCCAGAACTATCACTGAGTGCATTGTGTTATGGGTGCACAAGAAACGCAACACTGGGCTCTCAATGTTTATAATGAACTCTGAAATTCTTGGATGCTATAGATGTGTGATTGACAGATTCCCTGTTTAGGAAGAAATATATATCTTCTTCTCACCTTCTTGCACAAGGAAATTTTGTATGATAGGAGATCTTGGTATAAACTAGAGAATGCATTTCATTTTCATATTGTACTTATTATTTTCCCTTCAGTCTCCATTTGTGCCTGCCACAGTAAAGTCAGTAAGCAACAAAATAAAGTCTAAGGCCAACATTTGAAAATCTGGTTAGCACCCAGTGACAGCAACTCTGAAAATCATATTGCATATCTAGGTTCCCACCCTCAGGCATCAAGGTTTGAAAATTTTGGTCTAAACTCCCACAGCTGTAAATTACTTTAATTGGTAAACTGGTCATCTTATATTTCAAAAGTATGGAGTTCAAAAGATAAAGTTGAATTTATAACAAGTTTTCTCTCAACTTCTTTCATGCAATTTTAGATTAAGTCTTACTGTTTTCCTGTGGCTAAAAAGAAAATGTTTTAAGTCCCAGGTTTTAAACTAAAAAGTTGAATTGGGAAAAGAACAGTTCAGCCATTTAGTGCTTTGATATCTCTGAAAATAACCATTAGGAAAGATTGTCATTTAAAGTTAACCAAGACACACTGCTTATTTCAGTTCAGGAGTTCCTGTTAATCGGATTCTGTGCCCTATCAAGGGAGTCAGAGTGAAAAAAGGGAAAACGACAAATTTAGCCCCAAATGTATTGTTTAGCATAATCATTTAAATCTTTCCCCCCACAAATGGTTTTATACAGTAGCTATCACAGCTTTATATGGTGCACTCTTCGTTTTTCTAGCTGGGCCTTTTTCCAGCATGTGAAATATTTTGGATCAGATGTAATATATATTGACTACAACATTAGCAGGATATTGGAACTAAAACTATCACCAAATAGAACTCTGAATTGGAAAAGGCAACTTCCCAGCTGAGAAACAAGAATGCTTTTATTTAGCTTTGATTGGCTTCAATCATTCATGATATCCTGTTAATGCACTACTGTGCCAACTATCCAGTTATGAAGTTGCTTAGGAACACAAAAACTTCCTGACCTTGACGGTAAGTGCTTAGCATACCAAAAAATGGAACTACTTTTGATAGCAATTCTGATTCTGGCAGGTGTTCTTGTTCTCAAATTGCTTAAAACATCTTGATTTGCAAAGTTTTTTTTTTACTGTGACTGGAGACACTTCGGTGGTTATTATTTGGTATGACGCCAATAGAGCTAAGTAACAACACTGTTCTTCAGCAAGAACTTCAAGAGTTTCTTTTCAAATCAAATACACACATGTGAATCAAGGTCATACTTACAGTGGAGTTTACTGGTCCTAGATTGATATTAAGGATAACAGTGCAGTGAGTACATTATTTTGATGCCAGTTCTCTGAGAGAGAGTAAGAGATCCTTTCCGCTTTCTTTTGTGGCTGTATAGATGGATTGTGATGCATTTTGATCTGCCAAGAAACAATATAATGAATCACGTGTACTAGTGTTCAGCTTCAGTAATTTCTGTCTGCAACAGTGTCTCCTTTCAAGCATTGTGAGCTTTTAGAAAGAGAGAGCATCCCCAGGCCTTGTTAATGAGAATCCATGGTATGTTATGTTTGTAAGAAATCTGTAAAATATGTACTTGTAAAAATTTGTGGAAAGAAAAGGATTTGATGGACTTTAACACCACTAGAATAATGGTGCTGTCTGCTATAATGCTGGAGAAGCCAGACTGCAGGGTCAAGTGTATGGGGACAAAAAGCAGGTCAGTGAGTTCCTAAAGGCTGCTGATTACAAACTCTCTCCTTGCAGCTGGAGGTGCACTCTGCATGCAGCATGGTTTAGCTTTTGTTTGCTTCAGTGGAATCATGCTTTAATTTTTTGATTGTTGCTCTAGTGCCATTACTGGAGATGAACCACAATAATAATAATAATAATAAGCCTTCCAGAGTCTGCATAGAGAACTAGTTGGAACATGTGGAACAGCCATTAGGCCTGTGCTGAATTTCCTGTGCACCTGCATCATTTAATGAAGGAGGAGTAACTAATTTGGCTAGAAGGCATGCTTATTTGGTAATGATAAACTTAGAGAAATGGAAACTGTGGGCACCATCAAAATTTCACTGGTCAGGAGGAAATAACATTGAGAGAGTGCTTAAAATAACAAAGTTGTGTTGTCTATTAAAAACAGTCTATTCTGATACAGTATACATTAGAGTTAGAACTTTACAAATGGAAAGATTTGTCTAACAAAATGCACTTTGAGTGTTTAATCTGAAAATTGTGTAAAGAACAGAGATGGATTTGAAAAGCGATCAGCATTTTGAGGATATATTTGTAACTATTTTCATACAATCTTGCTGCAATGCTGCTAAAATACGTATGGTTTAATTTCTGAATGAGTGAAAGGGAATTTGAATTAAAAGTTGTACTGTAACTCAGAGCTCTGAGAATCTTCTTTTGGTTCTCTCTCTCCCTGATTTTATCATCTGTTTTAAAATCAACCTAATTAAACATTTACAAAGCTAGAGGCAGCTGCAAATTCAGATGTATGCATGGCTGATGATTACACAGAATGTGGCTTAGTAAAATAGTGGTAGAGTGGGAGATAGAAGCAAAATAGCATAGATGTTATGTTTTCTGGCCTGACTGCCTACCAAAACTCTACCACATCGTTAGGGTTGGAGAGGAAATGGACTGGATGATTGTTATAGATTGTACTTTGGTACTCCGTCTACATGTCATGGGAATGTCTTGATGCCGGGAGCTCCACATTAAATACTCAAACATCACAATTCAGTGTTTGAAGCGTGGTAAAACTGCTTACCCTTTCTAAACTGAAGACCTATGCGCTGAACTGCAATCCTCACTCAGGAAAAATTCCAGCTGGAGAAACTGGAATATTGCCCAAGTAAGCACTGTGGCATTGAGCCCCATTATCCTGCAGCTAGTGACTACTTCTATAATTTCTATAAAGCAAGAAAGAGTTACAAAAAAGTAGTTTTAAGCCCTGTAGCATCCGATGGATAGACAAAATGGCTGCGAGACATCTCCAGATACAACCAATCTTGTTAAACTGTTTTATGCAAATATATTGAATGTGGCTTTGTTGTGCTGCAGAACACCATAAATGTTTTGCGGAGGGGACAATGCCTTGTATTAGAACCACCTCTACCATGGCACTGTATTAAAGCTATCTCATAGGGTTACCATATTTAGTGCCTCCGAAAGGAGGACACTTTAAAGGGGCCCCAACCCCGCCCCCAGCCCCGCCCCTGCCCCA